TTTGGTCACTTTGGTGACTAACAAACTATACAAATACAAAGCACACATAATATCATAAAATTTTGTGCATATAAAAATATACAGTATAGATTGGCCACTTTGGTGACTAACAAACTATAGAAACATAATACATGCATCAAGTGATCATAAATATTATATGTATAGACATTAATTTCTCTGTGGCCACTTTGGTGACTAACAAACTATATTGCACTAAATACACACATATTATTTATTGCTTAGTATAACGACCACTTTAATTTATTGCACAATCTAAAATAACACATAATTATTACGTTATGGGGTTGCAAACATCAATTTTAAACTTTTCACGAGTGATGATAACCTAATTAACAAGCATTAGTTGTTTAACCATTGACCCCTTGCTCTTAATAAATCATAAGATAGCTTATAAAAAATTATCAGTAATGGCGCTTTAATATTTCAATATCCTCGTGTAAAAGTTTATTAGGACATCAATTATTGGCTAAGGCAAAAAGTTTCTCAAGTCTCAGTTAAACATTACTTTGCATCAACATACTGTATTGTAAGCATGAATTTAAAATTACTATTAGTCTTCCAAATATTATCAATAATGGCGAAAATTTTTGAGACCATCCTCACTGAAAATTTTGGATCCATCCCTCATGCAATTTTTCTAAATATGCTTGTTTTATACACTGATGATTATCAGTTCAAACAATCCAGGCTCTGATGACACATGTAAGATTAAATGCTTTCAGGATCTTGAACACGATAATCTTACATAGAGATCGTTAGGGGCACATACATGATGCGGAATACATCATCATTGAGAGAAGCGGAAGCGTTAGTCGTAAATTGGTTTCTACCTCCTTGCCCTGACCTTACGTTACCACAACCGTCAACGATGTAATTATTGTAGAGAATATGTGATAACCCTAATGGGTGGAGGGAGGACCAATTTATATAGGTTATGACTTAATCTGGTACGTCCATCAAGTAATCAATGTACGGACGAGATCTATTTCTTATTAAATATTATTTATGGTATTACTTGAGTTACAAGTAAACTTGAGCCATAAGTAAGAAATAATTAATAATAATTCTTACATGGAAAACCACTGGCGCACCAGCAAAACAAATTGCTGAATAAATCTATTCCTATGTTTCAACCTATATTCACTATCCCACTCAATAATAATGATAATCAAGGCCCAATGATACGACATAATCATTATGTAATGATTGGGTCATAAATACCTTAAACGTATTTATCCTCAAGTTAAGTCCCAAAATGTTACAACTACTGCAACTCTTAACATTAAAATTCTAATACTTTTTGTTTCTTTCTCAACTCCAATAATGTCATATACCCACTATCCATGTATAATATTGCAAGAATGAAATCTTGTTGACGCCTCAGCCTTTTATCCGAGAATTCAAGCCGCAATTGGCTTGTACAATAACTAGTACTATATTAAACTCTATTAGCTTATTTTAATATATATAGGACAAATGGTATAAGATATTAAATAAATTATAGACTTAGCTCATTAGTCACAAATTAAATTAATTATCTAAAGTTTACCCATCAACTGATTTACTATAGTTAACCGAATAGTTCAAAATTTCCAAACCAATCGACTGATTAAAAATGACTCGGGAAAACTATCTTTCTTCTTCTTCTTTCGTTAATTATTTTATTTTTTGTTATGACATTTTTAAATTTAATTTATCGTCATTGTTATAGTTAGCTCCAACATCCAAAATCAAACACTACAATAAATACAAATTTAAACCAAAATAATCTCATAATATGATAAAAAGAAAAAAAACAACCAATAAACCTAAAATATTACATTAATAATATGAGCTCTTTAGATATTGTGACTTTCTTTATGATTGAAGATTCTATGAGTAAGAGTTTAATTATCCGTAAGAATTTTAAAAAAAGAAGAGAAAAGTGGGAGTAGTGATCATTTTTAAGTCTTCTTCTTTCAGTGTTTTTTTTTTTAAATGTCAATTGATAGTTTTTTACATAACTATTTATCAAATTATCTAAAATAATTTGAGATAATATTTTTAAGAAAACAGTCAAATTGAAAATTATTTTGATGATGAAATGTGATAACTCGAAAATACTTCTATTATAACTTTTTTAAAAAAAAAACAAAATATAGATTTGAAATACTCAGATTTATTTTTCAAATTCAATTTTTTTTTTGTGTGATGCTTTTCTGTTGATATGTGGTACTTTTATTTTTCTTATTACGTAGATAGAAGATTAAAATAGATAATTGAGTTTTGAGAGATTAGGATAGCTAGGTAAGTGGGTGAGGAATTTATTAATTAGTATTGATTAATTAATTAAGCTTTAACTTTATAGATCTTGAACTAATTGAACTTAATTAGACCAAACAAAGCAAATTTTGAAGGCAGAATGGTCTGGTGGACCCTTGTACTTGTATAGGATTGTATTATGGACCCTTGTACTTATCCCTTTGTCATTTGGACCCTTGAATCCATCCAAAACCAACATTTTAAACACTTTTTTTGTTGTGGTATGGTGCGTGTTACACAAACATGTACACGTTGGCCAAAAAGAAAAAAAAATTAATTCACGTATGATATTATGTTCCACGTGGCAAATGACTCACGTTAAACTAAAAATAGTCCAACCCCGGTGAAATTTTCCAAACCTTCACGACTTTTCCACTTCTCCTTTTCTCCTCTCCACGATTTCTCCACTAACAACACATTCATCTGTGATTTTCCAAACCTTTGCTCAGTTGAAGCTCAGTTCCACTCCGATTTTTGTTGTAAGTTCTTGCCTTTTGCGTTAGTTCTGATTTTTTTTCATTTTCTCGTGCGTATCTGTTTGATTTAGGGTCGATTGTCATTTGATTTTCTGAATTTTTTTGGGGATTTTACTTTTGTTTGGGTGTAATGTTCATGTAATATGCTTTCTTAGTTGATATACAACTTCGAGTGACTTCAATGGCATATTTCGTGAATTCAAGAAGATTCTAGGGTTTATTCATAAAATCTCAATTTTGACTAAAATTAATATTTTATTTTTGGTCAATTGTCTTGTGTATTGATAGTGTTAGTGGTCCACTGTTACAGCAATTCATTATTTCCTTCAAAAAATTAGGCCTTTTTGTGTTACAGTCATAGTCATGGTAAGTTTATGGTTTAACTGTAGTTATTTTTTTTACTTTACAAGCATCGTAAGGTAATGACTTTAACTATAGTGACATTTCAATTTCACTATGGGAGATGTTTTGTATCTGATCCTACTTTAAGGTATGCCAATGGAATCACTAGTGTTGAAAAGATTAATATAGATGTAGATGAGTTGCATATTATGTTGTTTCATAAAATAGCACTGAAATTGGGTGTTGAAAATGTTGAGACATTTGGATGTAGAGTAAACAAGAAGGGTACTTTTTACATGTTAAATACTGATTATGATATTTTAAACTTTCTTAATAGTTTGAAGGGTGCTGATTTTGTTGATGTATATGTTGTACATCCCATTAGTATACCTTTAGTAGTTGAGGAGATACTTGTATTGCCTAGCACAAATGCTGATGTGTCCTCATCTCCACAACAAGATAATGTTGATGTGTCCTCCTCCCCACACAAAAATAGGGTTGATCTGTCATCCTCCCCACAAATAAATAGGATTGATGTGTGTTCATCTCAACCATTTGATGAAAATGAAAATAGGGATTTAAACCAAAATCAGTCCCATTTAGTTGAAGATCAGTCCCCTTTAGTTGAAGAACAAGCCCCTACCCATAGAGTTGAAGAACATTCTGATTCTGATTCACTCTATAATGTTGATGAAAATATTGATGATTTGAGTGATTTGGATGAGGAGTTGCTTCAACTAGGTAGTCTAATATTCAAGAACAAGTTAAAGAGAAGACAAATAGAGTAAATCTAGATGAGATACCATTTGGTCCTGTAGGTATAGATGCTGGTTTTGAAGACATTTATAAGGAGAGGATGGAGAGATTTGAAGGCAATTTGAGTGGTGATGACCCTTATTTTGATAGCTCAGATCCTCGTAGTGACATTAGTGAAGATGAAGGGGATCTTGTTGAGAATGATGAAGTGGTAGATCCAACACCTAGGAAGGAAAGTACAAAGATCTACTTTGATCCAACTGCTAAAAAGGTTTTACTTCAACTGTATATGGTATTTTTGAATCACATTGAGTTCAGAGAGGCACTGCAAACTTATTCTATTCAGAAGGGTGTTAATATTAAGTTGAAACTTAATGAGAAGGAAAGGATAAGGGCAAAAGTGTAATAAAAAAGGGTTTGTCCTTGGCATATTCTTGGAAGTATTGATGATAACACTGGAAAACTTCAGTGTTAAAACATATTTTCCTGTCCATAAGTGTTTTAAAAGAACTAAGAAACAAACTGTGTACCCCCATTTGGATTAGTAAACATTACAAGGAGAGGATTATGAGTGAGCCTACCATCAAACTACATCAGATTCAGTCTTTGATACAAAAGTAGTATGGTTTGTATATTAGTAAGACAAGTTGTAGAAAGGCAAAACTGAGAGTTATGAATGACAATATGGGAGATTTCAGAGAGGAGTTTGCTAGGTTGTATGATTATGCTGAGCAATTAAAGACCACAAATCCTGGAGCTACTGTATCTATTAGGACATCCAAGAAAACAATTTCAGGAAAAGAGGTGTTTATGAGCATCTATATTTGTCTTGGTTCCTTTAAAACTGGATGGAAATAAGGGTGTAGAAGGATTATTGGAATAGATGGTGCATTTCTTAAAAGTGTATGTAAAGGTGAACTGTTATCAGATGGAAATAATCAGATGTACCCTATAGCATGGGTAGTAGTTGATAAAGAAACCAAGGACACATGGTCTTGGTTTCTCAAGTGCATCAAACATGATTTGGAGCTTACAGAAGGTGAAGGACTAACAGTGATGTCTGATATGCAGAAGGTATTACTATATTATTTCTTAAATTTATTTTTTCATTTTTGGAGTAATTGATATTTAACATTGTTGTATGTCAAATGTTATTTTTGTTTGACAGGGTCTACATCTTGTACTTATTGATGTATTGCCAAATGCTGAAATTAGATGGTGTGCTAGGCATATATGTGCAAACTGGAAGAAAGACCGGAAGGGTGAAGAAAGGAGAAGAAAATTCTGGCAGGTTGCCAGGGCATCATTTGAGGTACTTTTACAGTCCAAACTTGATGACTTGAGTGAGTTAGGAGTATGCATTGTAGAAGCTTTGTTAAAGTATAACAAAGAAGCATGGTGTAGGGCATATTTTAAAGAGCATAGCAATTGTGATGTGGTTGAGAACAACATGTGTGAAACTTTCAACAGTTGGATTTTAGGTGCTAGGTTCAAATCAATAATCACTATGCTAGAGGAAATAAGAGTCAAAGTTATGGAAAGAATGAATCATATGAGAAAATTTTCAGAAAAATGGATTACTGATGTAGCACCAATGGCTATGGATATTCTTAGAAAAAATGCTGAAATTGCAGATAATTGTGAGGTAAAGTTTAATGGTGATCTTGGCTTTGAGATTCATGATCCACCATATAAACATGTTGTTGACCTAAAAAAGAAGGTGTGTAGTTGTAGGTCATGGCAATTAAAGGGAATTCCTTGTGGCCATGCACTTACAACAATTCATTATAAGGATTGGGTTGTTGATACATTTGTTGATCACTGGTATAAGAAGGAAACATACCTGAAAGCATATAATAGGTTTATTCAACCTATGACAAACATGAAGATGTGGCCAAAAAGTGATAGACCAGCCATTGAACCACCTGAAATTACAGCTATGCCAGGAAGACCAGGAAAAAATAGGAGAAAAGATAGTGATGAGCCAGTTAAGAAGAAGTTTGGAAAGGCTACAAGGAAGGGAAGAAAAATGAAATGTTCTGTGTGCAAGGGTTTTGGACATAACAAAAAAGGATGTCTAACGCTAGTAAGTTGTGCTTTAATGTCTCTTTGTTACTGAATTTTACGCTTGTTATACTTTTGACTTTAATATATGTTTGTAGAAAAATGTTGCAACTGCTGAAAGCCAGTCAAGTGTAAATGCAGGTCCAAGTGCAGGTTGCACTCCAAGTGCAGGTCCAATTAGTGCCAGAAGGCCTATAAATGCTTCATCAAGTGGTGTGAGGCTTGCAACTACCTTGGCATCTGGTGGAAGGCCTACCAGTGCTACATCAAGTGATGTGAGACAATTAATTAGTCAACAATCAACTTCTAGTGCAGCTGGCCAAAAAAGAAAGACTAGCACAACTTTGAGAGGTGGTGCAACTCTTGCATATAAGAAATCAAGACCAAAAAAAGCAAAGACAGCTGGTTATGGTCTCTTATTTGGATCAGGTGGTAGTGTAACTAAGAGGGTATGTATTTTATCATTTAAACACATTAAATTGCTTTAATTGATATTAGTTCATCTTTAAGTTAAGATTTTTGTTGTTCTCTCAGTCTGGAAATACTGATAGGGTATTACATAGTGCTACATTGTCAAGCTCAACTCCTACCAATATTGATCTTGGTTACAAACCCAATGGACTAAGGTGGAAGGGAAGAGCTGAAATTACTCAAAGGCAGCTACGGGATGAGAGTTACAGAAGCACTCAAGGCACACATTAGATTTTACTTACTTTAGCGTAATGGCTTGATCCCAACTAACTTTAATTTGATTAATGACTTGATCCCAACTGTTTTGGTTCTGCTATTAGGAAGACTTTGTTTTTTATATGAATGGCGCCTATATGAATTTGTGTTAAGTTGTTATTGGGAAGACTTTGTTTTTCTGTATGAATTTGTGTTTGAATGAAGTTGCTATTCAGATTTATGAAGCAAATGTAGTCCATTTCATTATCAAATAACACCTAGTACAAATCAATATATCTTAAAAATAATGGCTAGAAACCAAATAACAACAATCATAATAACAGTGATATCAATACTAGTGTGTGATCCTTGTCTTCCTTGCCTTCTTTGCCTGCCTTGTCTTCTATGTCTTACTTGTCTTCCTTGCCCTGAACTCGTTGATGGATTCTTAATGATGTATTGTTCTTGGCATGTTGAATCATTTGCATCAGCCCATCGGAAGAAACCACACCTATTACCGGATGAATATTTTTGGCAACCCCAAAACATTCTTCCAGGATTAGTTGGTGTTCTTGATATCTTTAGTTCATCATATATTCCACAGTAGCAACATCGAACCGTCATCGTGAAGACCAACAAAAATACAATAGAATCACACATAAAAAAAAAGATGAGTAGATCGAAGGAAAAGATAAAGGCTCCAAAAATAAAAGAGAAAATTTGAAGAGACAAAATCGAGAAAAAGAGGAGGAAAAAGCTCAAATTGTCCAACAATGGTGTTGAGTGAAAATAAAGAAGAAGAGATGGCCTTTAAAGGTCAAAATCTGATCATTAGTGCCTTTTTAAGGCTTCTCACACTCTTACTTTGTATGTATCACACGCTCCATGTGGAGTCTTTCCACATAGGATGCCACATCAAAAAAGTGTTTAAAATGTTGGGTTTGGATGGGTTCAGTGGTCCAGATGACAAAAGGGTAAGTAGAAGGGTTCACAATACAAACAGATACAAGTACAAGGGTCCACCAGACCATTTGGCCTATTTTTGAAGTTGAACTTAGACGTGAACTTGAAATTAGAACTTGAATTTAGAATTTGAACTAGAACTTAGAACTTGAACTT